TATTATTATTATTATTATTATCATTATTACTATCATTAATGATATTATCATTATTGTAATTATGTCATATTATTATTGTTTCATTATCATTATTATTAGTAGTAGTATTGTTATCATTATTATTATTATGATCTTTATAATAACAGTAATAATGGTAAAAACAATATCATTGATATTACTATTATCATTGTTGTCATCATCTTCATTATTATTATCATCACCATCATTATCATCACCATCATTACTATCATTATTATTATTATTACTATTATTATTATTATTATTATTACTACTATTATTTATGATGATCATCATCAACAACAGCAATATCAACAATAACAATAATGATATCAATTATGAAAGTAATATTAGTAATAAAGTGTCTCATCAATATTGTTTCAAAGCTTTTATGCTTAGTATAACGAGTATTAAAAGTACCAGTGTATCTGCATGTGTGTGTGAATTATCTTTTAATAAATGTATAAAGATGAGAACATGAGCTCTAAAACGTTCACACTCCTTAAAAAAAAAAAACACGTAATGGTGAAGCTAAAACATCTGATCTCTCCTCCTCCCTCTTAACTACGGCTTCCCTCGTTCCACTGTATTTGGAGTAAAGCCGTTTATCCTCTTTAAAACAAAAGCCTAATTCATATCGTATACCGTCCAGCAACCTGTTTTTTTTATTTTATTTTCTTTTTTTTTCTCTTTTTTTTCGTACATACGCCTAGCTGGTTTCACTACTCCGCCAGCTTTCTCTGTCCCCCCCCCCCCCCGAGAGGCCTATCGGATGTTCCTGTCCCATTGAACTATCTGTTTAGCTCGCGTCTTTCTTGTCCCACAGCTGTTTTATATCGCGTCTTTCTCGTCCCGCTGAACCAGCTGTTTACCTCGCCTGCTCGTCCCACTGAACTAGCTGTTTAGCTCGCCTCCTTGTCCCACTGAACCAGCTGTTTACCTTGCCTCCTCGTCCCACTAAACCAGCTTTTTACCTTGCTTTCTCCTGAAACTGAACCAGCTGTTTCCTTCTCCTCTTCCCACTGAACCAGCTGTTTCCTTCTTCTCCTCTTCCCACTGAACCAGCTGTTTCCCTCGCCTCCTCGTCCCACTAAACCAGCTGTTTCCCTCGCCTCCTCGTCCCACTAAACCAGCTGTTTACCTCGTCTCCTTTTCTTCCCACTAAACCAGCTATTTACCTCGATCCTCATCCCACTAAACCAGCTGTTTACCTGGGCTCCTAGTCCCACTAAACTAGCTGTTTACCTCGTCTCCTTCTCTTCCCACTAAACCAGCTGTTTACCTCGCTTCCCCGTCCCACTAAACCAGCTGTTTACCTCGCCTCCTTCTCCTCCCACTAAACCATCTGTTTACCTCGTCTGTTCGTCCCACTAAACCAGCTGTTTACCTCGTCTGTTCGTCCCACTGAACCAGCTGTTTACCTCGCCTCCTCGTCCCACTAAACCAGCTGTTTACCTCGCCTCCTTCTCTTCCCACTAAACCAGCTGTTTACCTCGCCTCCTTCTCTTCCCACTAAACCAGCTGTTTACCTCGCCTCCTTCTCTTCCCACTAAATCAGCTGTTTACCTCGCCTCCTTCTCCTCCCACTAAACCAGCTGTTTACCTCGTCTGTTCGTACCACTAAACCAGCTGTTTACCTCGTCTGTTCGTCCCACTAAACCAGCTGTTTACCTCGCCTCCCCGTCCCACTAAACCAGCTGTTTACCTCGCCTCCTTCTCTTCCCACTAAACCAGCTGTTTACCTCGCCTCCTTCTCTTCCCACTAAACCAGCTGTTTACCTCGCCTCCTTCTCTTCCCACTAAACCAGCTGTTTACCTCGCCTCCTCGCCATCCATCACCATTGACAACGGGAAATGCATAGCGATTATTTCCACTGATTGTATTGATGTTCTTGTTATTCTTTCCACATTTCGGAGTCATTGGTTTTCCTCATTTTCCCGTCCTGCGTCGCATGCATTGGTTCGTGAACTCTCAA